CCGAGGCTGGGGCATGGGAGACTTGTTGGGAAGGTGGCTGTTCTCCAGGAGACTGTGCCTTCTGTCCAGGATCCTGACTTGGGGAGCAGGGCCTAGATGCCATGAGCACAGCTGTACGCCCCTGGGCTTGGCAGAAGAGAGCTCTGCAATGGGACAGCCGGGATAGCTTGCTGAGCAAGCGTGGCAGAGGAGTCTGAGTGACTTTGGAAATCACACCCTTTCTACCCTGTTATAGCTACTTTCCTCAAAGGCCCCCAAAGGACCATGCATGCTCTCTTTCTTCCCCCAAGGATTACTGTGCCAGGAAGTGGAGGATGACAGAGTGGTGCAGGACGACCTCATCCCGTGGGGAGGGGCCCTGGGAAGCAGGGAAGCTCATTCATTTGCTTGCTCAGCCGTGAATGTCCATGCGGGCGTTTCCTCAGTTCCAAGGGCTGTGCTAAGGCAGAGGACAGTGGCAGGCAAGAGCAGGCCAGGGCAGGGCAGCATCTGGTGCACAGTGCTGCAGCTGCTCCCTCTGAAGCACCCTGGAGGTGCCCAGTGCAGTCTGCCCCGTCCTGCCCCGGCCCTGGTACAGCCCCGTCCTGATGAGTAGGGCAGCTACCCGAAAACACAGAGTAAGTAAAGGCGTATACCCAGCGCAGGAGATGTCTGCACTGAGACCTAAGCATAGGTAGCAAGATGTGGGGTAGGCAGGGAGTGCTTCCTACAGAGGAGATAAAATGCTCAAGGGTCCAGAGGCAAAGGGTGACTGGGGATCTGAGAGGACGGCAACAGGCGTGGCTGGGCCCCCAGTGTGGGGTTGGTCTCTGGCAGGGAACCTGGAGAAGCCTTTGTACTACACAGCGGGAGCCATCCGAGGCTTCCACGATGGAGATAGTATGATTGGTGTGCCTTTTGCAGCGATGAGTCAGCTACAGCTTCACTGTGGGATGGGGTTGGAGGAGGCCTAGATGAAGCCAGTGGAAGGTTTCCCCAGGGGGTGCAAGCAAGAGGCAAGGATGGCCTGATTTTGGGTAACAGTGGTCAGCATGGCAAGAGACGGTGGGATTGGGGAACTAGTTGAGAGGTAGCCTCTGTGGAGGTTGGGGATGGAGACAATGTACGGGAGAGAGAAGAGCTAAGGGAAATGCTCTGGCCTGGCTGAGAGGGGAGGCCTAGCAGGTGGGGAGACTAGGAGACAACGACTGTCCAAACCTCTTCCAGGCCAAGGACTGCAGGATCCCAGGGACTGGAAGGATGACTGCATCAGAATACTAAACTTCAGGACTCCAGGAGACCTGATGACAATCAAGTCCTGGCCCGGGGTTACGATTTGTGTCTAGATGTCCCCCCAAAACTTCATGCAGTCATGGGGAGGGCTTTTCAGAGGTGGCTGAACCTAGAGTTTGTGATTGATTCATGGTCCAGTGCTGGAGTTAAGGGTGTGAGTGCTGCACCTGCCCTAGGGCGGGTAGCGTGCATACAGTATAAGGGACAGAAAGGGGCTTGTCTGCTCTCCATCTCTTGCTGCTTTTGCTATCTTCTGCTGCCATGAAAGGTTGCCCTCTGCCATGTGCCACTCTGCCTTGGAGCCAGCCAATTATGGACTGAAACCTCCACAGACTGTGAGCTAAATAAACCTTTCTCCCTTTAGCTTTGGATGTGGGGTATTTTGTCTCAGCAGTGAGAGAAAAGTAACTAGACACCCAGTTCTACGCCTAGCCTCTTCCCCTTGTGTCACTAAGTTATTTCTCCCTTGTGGCATCCTTCAGGCATCTTTGTACCAGTGCCTATGCTCAGAAAACAGAGATTAATCAGTCACATGCCCTGCCTTCAAGGAGGAGCCAGGTCAACGTGGAATGCTAATGCAAGGCTGCAGGGCTACGACAGGGAGCCCAGGTCTGTAGCAACAGCTCAGAGAAGGGCACCCACTGTAGCACTGGCAGTCAGAGGGCATTGCCAAAGAGGAGGAAACGGCCAGAGAAAGACCTTAAAGTGTGAAGCCCAAAGGCAGGAGTGATAAAGAAATCTCAGAGATAGAGGCAAAGAGAAGAGAATGCAAATCCCCAAAGAAATTTACAAGGTGTCTAAAGCCCAGAGAAATTAAGCAGTTTGGCCAAGATCACTCAGTCTCTCAGCAGTGTGTGCTGTTTTCAATAACTTTCTTGCTCTAGCCCTCCTCAATCCCTTTTTGCTCTTTCTCTCACCCCCAGCCTATGCCTGGTCTAGAAAGATACACAAGTCAGGGGAGGAAAGCTATTCCCTAGGGCGGGATTCACTTGGCAAGAGGATCTAAGTGACCCTCTACCAATTCTCACCTTTTTTGGCTCAATCCTACTAGCCTAGCATGCAAATCCACTAAGGTCATATCTACTTTTAAATAAAAGTCAATAGAACCAGTCAAACTCCTTTACAGCTCTCAATATCCCATTCAGCCTGTCAGAATTAAACCAATTTTTTTGCCCAAAACAAAGCACACTTTGGTGTTTATGACTTATTGACCTTAAATGGAACTGCAGTCTCCTTGCTCCCTGGGGGGGCATCTTTTTCTTCTTGGTTCCCTATTGCCTTGTTGCTTCACATATAATAGTTACTTTAAAAATGACATTCAAACTGGATGTGGTGGTGCATGCCTGTAAGCTCAGCTACTTGGGAAGCTGAGGAAGGAGGATTGAAAGTTGGAGGCCATCTTGGGCAACTCAACAAGACCATATCTGAAGATAAAAAAATAAAAGGGGCCGGGCATGGTGGCCCACACCTGTAAACCCAGCACTTGGGAGGCTGAGGCAGGAGGATTGTTGTGAGTTTGAGACCAGCCTGGGCTGCAAAGTGAGCTCAAGTCCAGTCTGAACTGTATAGTGAGACTCTGTCTCAAAAATAAAATAAAACAATAAAAAATTAAAAGGGCCAGGGAATTCACTTGGTTCTCCCTAAGTTCAAACCCAGTACAGAACAAACAAACCAGAACAGAACAAAACAGAACAACAACACAAAAGTCACTCCATGAGCTCTCAAGACATCTAAGATGCTCTACTAGATGCTGGGGAAAGGGGGCAAAAATGAATACAAGACGGCCTCTGTCCCACGGATCAGGGATCTGGGCCATCTGAGCCCCAGATTACGTCGTGTTCTTAACAGACCGTCATCCAATAATAAAGAACTCACCGCCTTACTTATTTGTGAAGTAAGCTAAGATCCTCCCCTCTTGCAGATGTCATATCACTTTTTTTTTGCCTAGAATGATAGAAATCGTATGTCTAATTATTTTTTCACATGCCAGCCCTCTCATGTTTGAAATGTGTTTTCCCATCTACATTGTCTTCACCTGACCCCAGCTTGTTCTGTTCTCCTTTTACTGAGACCTCAGAGCACTCCTTTTCCCTCTTCAATGCGGTGCCCAGATCCAGGCATAGGCTCAGCTCCTGGAGCCGGTGTGGAAGCCCCGGCGGCTGGCCCCCTTGTCCTGTGAGGACTGCTGCAGACCCCAGTCACAGTCAGCGGACGCCCACGGCCTTTCTCCCAGGACGAAGCTGCCCGGCTCATCCCAATGCTGCAGACTTTTCTCGGCTCAAGGCAGAACGTTAGATTTCTTCCTGTTCCATTTGATTTTTTTCTCACTGAAACGATCACCCTGTCCTGATGAGTTTTTGTTTTTGTTTAACCTTGGATTCTGTCATCAAGGTACCAGCTGTTTCTCAGATTTATGTCATCAGAACGTTTGGAGAAAGTAACTTGCATGCCTTTACCAGTGCCTTAGCAAAACAGTTCTGGGAAGGGCCAAGGACAGCGCTCCACTTGACTCGCCTGGAATTGGCACTGATAGGAAAATCAGTGGGGTGTTTTTTGGTTTTTTTTTGGTTTTGGTTTGCACATTCTGCTTGAGAACAACCTCCCTGACTCTACTGTCACTTAGTCCACCTATGTCTTGTCCACATAGAGACGATGGGAGATTTAGTCAAAATACTTTACTAAAAGCCAGACACACTGCTGCTGTTCTGATCCAGGGTAATAGCTTGGCAATCATGCCCAAAGAAAGCAATGAGGTTAGTTTGGTGCTGTCCTAGCAGCCTTCTTACTGGCTTCCTTTTCCTATGATCCACCTTGTCCACCGGGCTACAGAATGAGTCTTTAGAGCTACACATGCTAGAGCCAGAAGAGATCGTGGAGGGGATTTGAGATTTAACTTCCGGTTTTGCTGATGAGGAGACCAGTGCCCAGAATACTTAGCTGGTATTCCCAAAGCCACACAGGTCAGAGGAGCAGCACCAAGGACTGGGCGTCTGCAGCTCCAAGTTCAAACCTATTTCTTACCAGTATCGCATAATCATGTCTGTTCCTAAGCAGGGACAGCGCCCCCCGCCCCCACACACACGCTTTCCTGTGGGTCTCTAACTCTCCACTAAGACATGTCATGGCATTGTGTCTTTTTCAGGTTCACAGAGGTTTCCAAGACTGACTCCTCTCTCCTAACCCATCTATGGTGTTTGTGCTCCAAAAGGGGACCTTGGGGTTTCCCCAGTTGGATTAGTCTTTGGAATACTCATCCACCTAGAAGAGGCCCCCTACTTTGTACCACACTTGCGCCTGTGTGTGCCTAGGCATGGGACTTGCCTCCCGGTGGGTATGTTAGCAAGGCTGTGTCTTCTAGGCAAAGTGGAGGTGGGGCCTTCCCTAGTGAGCAGCAGGCTGACTGCCTAGGTGTGTGGGGGGCGTGAAGTCTTTCTATGCATTGTGAGGGGTCAGAGCCCCTGGACACACTGCCTTAGGGCCTGGCAGTACAAGGATGTGGTCCCTGCAAGATGGAGGCCCTGGACGGGAGTGTAGCAGTGGCCTGCAGCCCATTCCCTGAAGAATGGGCCCTCCAGGAAGGGAGATTAGGTAGCTTGACTCAGGAGAATTGTGGCAAGAGAGCTGAGCCTTCAGGTGGGCCCAGAGGGGGCGATCCCTGGTACCCTGGACAGCCCCCAACGGCAGGGCCCCTCCCCACCCTCCCCGCCCCCCTAGGAGGCCCTGGGTACCTGTTTATTCTTTAGGTCAAGGGAGAGTTCGTAATCAGAGGCGCCAGGGGTGTGGGAGCAGGGTGCCGTCGCCAGGGCAGGCTGCTGCTGGCTGGGGGAGGCCGCACGATGGGGGCCAGCCCTGGGGGAGGCACCCCCCGCCCCCGGCCGCTCCTCCTTCTCCTGGAGCTCCTGGGCTTGAGCCTTCGGGGCATGGGCACTGGGTCTGCCGGCTGCCACTGCGGAGTCCTCCATGCCCCCACCGGCCTGCACACAGGAGCCGTCACTGTGAACAGAAGGCAAGGAGGCTCGGTTGGGGGGAGGGGCACGGGCCGCATGCAGCCTGAACGGTCTGGGCTTTCCAAAGGCGGTGAGTGGTGGGGTGTCCCCTGAAGTTCCTTCTGGGGCTGGGCTGTGTGGCAGGGAGGAGCCCCAGGCTGAGGGTGAACCTGACCTCGGGGAGGGCATCCGAGGTAAAGGGAAGGACTGGCTCTGGCCCTCTGCTCAGAAGCAGAAGGAGAGGCATTAAGAGTGACGGTGAATCCAGCTGTGCCTCTTCTCAGGTGCGTGACTCTTAGTAGGTTGCTTCACTACACCTTGGTTTCCCCATCCATAAAATGGGCATAAGACTAGGACCTCCTATAGGGGCTTTGGAAGGCTTAAGTGAGTTAAAGTTCTTGGAATCCCTTGTCTCATGGTCACCGCTACACACTGCTGTTAACTGTTGTAACTATCTGTGGACTGGTTCTCTGGCTATTGACTGCAGAGGCTTAGAGGTGGCCCCTTCCTCCAGTAACTGGCTCCATCCCAACGAGTGACGTCTAAAGCCCAGGCTTTGGTAGAAGCCCCGTTAGGGTGGGTGGCCACAGCGCTGGGCACGGCCTGTGGGAGGACTCTCTCTCTGCTGGGTTTAGGGAGGCCTCTGTTCTCCCCTGGTCCCTCCTGTAGTCCCATGGAGCCACCAGCAGGCTGGGCAAGGACTGCTGCCTGCGTGCCCATCCTAGGAAGCCAGTTCATGGCCAGGAGCAGCTACACCCCCGCCCTGGGGACTCAGCTCACTCCGGGTGCCTCCCTCCCTACCAGCCTCCAAATTCTGCTCTTTCCTCCAGACCCAGAGCTGCGCCACCTCCTCCAGGAGGCCTTCCCAGGGGACTGCGGCAACACTAGCCCCTGTCCCTCGAGGGTTACTGTCTATTTCACGGAGGAGGAGCAGCAGCATGATGAAGAGCACAGGCTCAAATCCAAGTCCCAGTCCTGTACTCTGTGGCACTGGACAAACTGCTTTGTTTCTGAGCCTCGGTTTCCTCATCTATGCAATGGGTGTACTCATGACTACTTTATGCAGTTATAATGCAGAATATGCTATACAATACTATATATAGTGCGGAGTCCACATACGCAAGGTATTCAGCATAGAGTATGTGATTAATAAATAAACATCCCTTCATAGAGCCCAGGGCCCAGCTTTGCTTTTATTCCCATCTCCCCAGTTAGTGCTAGGCAAATTATGGGTGCTCTAGCAATACTTGATGAATGAATTGAGGAGAACCCAAGGCCTTGGGAGTAGCCTTTACAGCGGACAGTGATAAAAGGCCAAGCCTGGAAGGAACCATAGTGTCACCCAGTGGCCTCCCAACCTCTTCTTTACACAGGAATTCCCCAGGTCATGCCAGAGCAGGGCCTTTCCCCTGTTGCTTCCACCAACCTTGAGGTGCACAGAGGTGATCTGCCTGGAGCTTGGATAACCAAGGTAAGGTGGAGAATCCTCTCTCTTTACTCAACCTCCATCTGTCCTTGCCTCTGTGATCCTAAAAAGGAAGAGAGCTCCTGGGCTGGCCTTGGCCTCAGGAACCTTCACCGCTACTCCGTGGTTGTTTCCTTGTGTGGCCGGCCACCAGTCAATGTGTCTGGCTACACGAAGCTCTAGATATCTTTGATGTTTTTCACTAGCATCATCAGAAAGATTTTTTTTTAAGATCTAACTTCAACTCTCCTTGCTATAGCACGTGCCTTTTCTTCCCCCGACCACATGGAAATAATCTTTTTCCATTGCTAGCACAACTTGCACCCAGGATCTGGAGGCAACACTCAGCCTCCTCTCCTCGCTCCCATCTTTTCTGGCCTGCCTGAGGCCCTGATGCCCAGCTTCTGAGACTCTTCAGGGAGCTGGTAACTACTCAGAGCTACAGACCCCTTCAGTGATGGCTGTTTGCTTGCTTTGATCGCTGGCGTGTACCTGGCAAGATGTTCCCAGGAGTTGATGCCCCCAAGCTCGGCCCATGACCGTGGAGGTCGCTGCATAAATACTTAGCACCATTGTTCCTTGGGCATGATGAGGCACATTCTGTACAGTCTCCCCAAAGCCCCAGTGGCATCAAGCCCAAGCTGGTCAAAGCAGCAACCTGAGAACTAATGGGCACTGTGTTGGCTTCCTTCTGTACTGTGCCTCATTTTCCCACTTCCCTGGGGGCACTTCCCGGTGCCTTCTTGTCCCAGAGAAACTACTTGCATTCAAACAAACCAGACTTTAGAAAAAGCCTTTGGTGTGGGCCTGTGTTTATGCGCCTCTTCTCTGGTCCTGGTGGCCTCCACGCCACCAGCTCCAGCAGGCACACACGCACCTATGTGCACACACATTCACACACACGCCACATTTCCAGCCGGCTCTGTGGCTTTGGGCAATTTGTACTCTCCCGAGAGTCACTTTCCTCTCCTGTCGCATGAGGGGAGCTTGCATTCCAGTGCTGAGGCCAGCCCCCAAGGCCCACAGCCCCCAGCTTGGGAGTCTCATTCCCCCTCTGTCCGCCTGTGTGCACAGCCTCCTGAGAGACTGAGTCCCCCAGGTATAAGAAGAAAAAGTGCTGGGAGAGGGTCTTGTGCTTGTCTTCCTTGGCTGTGTGGGAGAAAGCGGCCATGGAAGCCCTGCAGGGCTCTGTCCAATAAGGCCAAGTTTAAGGCTATATGGTGGAGGGCAAAGAAGAAGTGCTTTGGTGTCAGGAGCCTGGGTTAGAAACGCGGCCTGCTACTTTCTACGTGATCTTGACAAGTTACCTGTCCTCTTGGCAGCTCTATCTCCCCATCTGCAAAATGGGTATCCTACTAAGTACTCGCAAGCTTGCCATAAAACAGATAAGGAATAATAAGGCACCTAATAATTTATAGCACCTACTTCAGTGCCTGGCACACAGCAGCCCTTAGGGAATGGGGATTGTGGTACTGGTGGTCTGTTCGCTGAGCTAGAACCCTACAGCAGGGGCTCCCAAAGGAATTCCCAGAAGAAGAATGTGGAGAGTTCTGAAGAGGAGGGGCTCTCATATTTGGCCTTCCCGTCAGCCATCAGAAAGCTGAAACAACCAGTTTTTCCCTCCCAGCTCGTGGCTTTTCCCAGACTGGCTCGCTGAGACCTCCACTCACCATGTTCCATCCTCTGGAGCAGCAGCACATCGACAAGGTCATGGTCTTGAGTGGCTCTGACTGAAGGGTCCTGCTGCTCGTGAGGGGTGTGTGTGCTCACTGCTTATGGCAGGGCCCTTGGCTATACCCAGCAGTGTGGCATTTCCTGGGTGGGCAGTGGTCCAGGGCCTGCTGCCTGGACCTGTGCTTTGGGCCCTTTGTCAGGGAGCAGGGGAGGGCTGAACATCTGCAGACTGTTCTCTGCCTATTTTTCTCCCTGCATTTCCTCCACACAAATGGTCTGAGGGAAAGGTTGGGATCTTCATCCTAGGGAGGACCATCTATTTCAAACTTGAGACCCCCTTCTTCAGTTCATAGCCCACTGCTTGCTCTCAGACCATCATCCTCCCAAGGGGGGCGCTGTGTCTTTCAGCTTCTGGAAGCTGCTAGGCTGAACGCCCATGCAGCTGCCCTCCCTAGTGGGTCTGACTGCAGGCAGCCTGGGTGTGGACAAGCACCTCATGGTCAGGACTCATTCATTCATCCATTCTGTGCCTTAAGCCCCTACTTGAAGCCCCTGGAAAGGACCCTGGTCATCTTTGCTCTTCAGGATTCCACATCCACCTGCCATGACAAATCCTTAGGGTGACAGTCCATAGCCTGGAGAAGTAGGGTCACTGATGACATGTGAGCCGTGTTGGCGGTCATGAGGTTATCCCCTGGGTTGGGGACCCATTGGAGAAGGCCAAAAGTAAAATGTGGGCAGCATCAAAATGAGGTGGCTCTGAGAATGTCCTGTGTCTATGTGCCATTGGACTGACACATACACAGCGACCCGGGGCACCTGCAGCAGCCGGCCTGTGTACAAGAACATAGGATTCAAATACGGGAAGTGAAACTCTTTGAGAAATTGGGAAACCACTGAGAAATTGCTCCTGCTGCTCACAGGGACATCATGTGTACTTAGAACTGAATGACCTGTGTGCTGGAACTGAACGTAACGGAGAGGAAGGTTTCTCGGGTGAGAAGCTGGCTTGTGCTTAGGGGGATGCTGGGAGCTGTAGGGTGTGCCTGGTCTCAGCTCAAGTGGCTTCTCTGGGGTTTTGGTGACCCACTGCGTTCTTCTATGGCCTCCCCCATCAGAATCAGTCCTCGGCTCAAAACCCGCATGATTCCCGACTCGCGATCTTGCCCCACTTCCCTTTCCAGCCTCATGTCCTCTGAGCGAGCCACCCACTCTGCCCGCACTGTGCCCACGTCTGCCAGCGTCTCTCAGACCACGACACCTCTCCCATTTCTTCCGCCTGAAAATGCGTTTCCCTTTCCATGCCCTCTTCCACTTACGTGTTTCTCTGTCTGGCCAACTCTTTCAAGACTCACTTATTGCTAAGTGTAGCGGTGCAAGCTTAGAATCCCAGCACTCTGAGAGGCTGAGGTAGGAGGAACACAAGTTGGAGTCCAGCCTGAGCAATTCAGTGATTTAGTGAGATCCTGTCTCAAAATTTAAAAAGTGCAGAGGATGGAGCTCAGTGTGACGGCCCTGGGTTCAGTCCTCAGTAACACACACACACACATATACAAACACACACACACACACACACACACACGCACACACACACATGCACATGCACACACTTGCTGGCTTCAGGAATAGCCAGTCCCACCCTCTTATGTGCTGCAGTAATCCTTGGCCCTTGCTTCTCTTTTGTCAATGCCCACTTTGTACTCTTAATTACTCACTGACGTACGTCTCCTCCCCCAGCCTGTGCCACGCACACCTTTTTAGCACAGGCCAGCACAGGGGGTTGATTTATATGACTTGTTTGATAAGAGTTGGATAAACGGCTGTCTGGATGAATGGCTTGCTGACTGAGTGGCTGGCTGGCTGGATGG